TCTGATTTTAGTGAGCTACTTTTGCCATTCTGCAATTGGTGCGGTTGTACCTGAGTACACCAACGCTAGTGTAGAAAATGCAGGTAAAATAATGTTTGATTCGATAGCAAAAGTAAAAATGCTGCAACATTTTGGCTAGTATTTAATGAATTTTTAAACTTCTAGCTGTAGCATGTGAGATCAATCCATTCGAAGGAGCTAATCCAACTCCACTGTTGGTTCGTTCCACCAGTTTTGTATATCCATCATCAGCTGGACGACGCACAATAACTTTTGCTGCTGGGGAAACTGTAGATTTTGCGTGTCCTGGAGGTAGGCTGGTTTTGGAGGGCGTCTCAACCACTCTACAAGTAGCCACAGCTTCTTGCGTTTCTGGTGTTAGATTCGTCGTAAACAATGCAAGGTAACTTCAATTACACTCGTTCAAACAAAGCAAAGTTGAATAAGGCAAAATAGCATAGATTTATCTACATCTGAGACTAACTAACCTTATCCACCTTTGTTTTAGGAGACATTGTGATTGTGGAAAACATACGTAATTCTAGTTAGCGATTTATACAGTGAAGGCGCGTGGGTTGGGACGATAGCATTTTATGTTCGCGAATTTGTTGGCGTGGAAAGTTTTACGGCGATAAAACGACACAAGAATTTTCGCTTTTATTTTCTAATGGAAAATTTATTGATACAAAGTGGTTCAAAAAATTATATTTGCTATCGAGAAAAATATTATTTTGGAATGAATGCGCTCTTTTACTCAAAACGAACGGGAAGAACTACGGATGAAGAACACGTCGAAAGTAATAATAGATATAAGAAAAGTGCAGGTGAAATTTCTCTAGATTATTATCTCTCAACTAATTTCGGAGAGTAGCGATCAATTCGTAGTTGATAGTGAATATGAAGGTTCGGATTGAACAATGTGGCCCAACTACAACTATACATCTAAAATCTGACAAGACATGGTATTCACACCCTTTTAATTATAACCCAATAGTTTAAATTATAAACTTACAACTTTCACAGAAAGTGAAGGTATTTCTTCATACAATCTATAACAGTAAAATTTGTATATAACAAATGTTATGTTACAAAAGTAATTATTAAAGTTCGAATATATGTATAAACAACTTATAAATACTAAAACGCATTAAATATTCATATTGATATGTTTAGATATCTTTGGCGACAAATTCAGTGTTCCGTTAATCCAGTCACCACTGCCAGATTAACAGGAAACAGTTGCGAGTCCAACGGACGTGAAGCCGAAATTGGTTTCGCAGTTACAACAAGTCGATTTGTCAGAACTATACAAATCTGCTTCAATCAGGCTACCCAATCACCAATTTACACATACTACGATTTAATTCCTGCAATTACTCAGCAAGTAAGAGGTAAGTTGGATATTCAGCGTAGAAATTCCTAAGGACAAAAATAACTAATTCAACAGAATGCATCTTTCTGTGTTGATTTACTGATACGCTACGTTTTTTTTTCATTGGAACGTCTGCAGGTACACCCCGACCAAGTTGGACTCAGGGAACTGGAATATTTACATTAACCAACGTCAACAATCTTTTCACCCAAGCAACGCAAAGAGTAACCATCAATGCCCTACTCGGTCTACCAACCGGCAGTTTCAATGTTATCCAAAACAACAATAACTACTTCTTGTCCAGGGGACATCTAACGGCAACGAGTGACTTCTTCTATGCCGCTCAACAAAACAGCACTTTCCAGTTTTTGAACGCGTTACCTCAATGGCAAACGTTCAATGGTTTCAACTGGGATCAAGCTGAGACTGA